CAGGTGAGCATAAAATACTAAACTTCATTTCTGCACAGGTTTCTTTGTAGCCTTTGTCATATCCTGACTTATCCTCTTAAATGGGTTGTCTGGATGATCTTTGTTATTTTTAAAACATACTGATTGTAATTATGTGTAAATACAAAATCACATAGAGCTACGCTCTGTGTAGGCACTTATATTCAGCCATGTCTCATGTATTTTCTAAGTGTTTTTCCTTGTTTTTCACTGGTCACAGAAATCTAATAGCATTTTCAGAAGAAGGATCCGATCCGTATGTGCGAATGTATTTATTGCCTGATAAGAGACGATCGGGAAGAAGAAAAACACACGTATCAAAGAAGACATTAAACCCAGTGTTTGATCAAATGTATGTTCTAAACTATGTGTAGTAGTTACAGATGATGTAATTTCAAAGCTGTCAAATCAAGGTTTCTTAGGTTACCTGAATGGATGATCTGGTGAAACTCTTAGTTGTCACCACCAGACTTGGTTATACCTTTCTCTTCTATAGTAGCTCTTCCCATCTTCTATTCCCTGTTACCGCTGTAGCCCTTCTTACTCTGTTACCAGCCACTCCTCTCATTTTCTGCCTTATCCTCTGCATCCATCCCCTTTGTGCTGGTAGCTAAGAAGCAGCATGCACTCTTCTGGCAGGTGGCCAGAACATGAGTGCTTTTTAGCTGGGCAATGCTGATGCATGCCAGGAAGCATGTCGATTCTGCCAGGCTGCCTGGCTGACAGCCACTGCGTCCTCAGTAGGACTGGCCAGCCAGTGTCTGTGCATGTTCAGATTGCTCCGTCAGTCTACTTGCTGGCACTTCTTAGCAGCCAGGGAGTCAGGAAATTTCCTCGTAGGTTATATCCTGGCCCATAGGCTGGAAGTTGTGCAAGCTTGTGCAACATTGTATTGCATAAAAGTCCTTGTCTTTCCACTCAGCTTTCTGATGTCAGTTTCCCTCACACATGTATCCTGTTTTCCCTCACCCAACACTTATAAGTAAAGATGACCTTTCTGAACAGACAGAAATTTAATTTTGGGAAAAAAACACTTCAATCTTCTGTCTAAGGGAAATCTGTAAGAGGCTCTGGTAGGTTTTCCTGGTATTGCAACTCTCTCCTGTTTATTCCGGGTAATAGATTTGTCTTACTGTGTCTTTCCAAGTAAAATGTATTGCAAAGCAATAAAGCTGTTTAAGAACTGTAGTGACAAATAGATGTAGATTGTGGTATAATCTTGCCCTCACTCTCTGCAAGTTTCAGACCTAGCAAACAAAATGTGTTCTTCCTTTAAAAGTTGGTAGGTTTTCTTGGTGTGCAAGGAAAGAAAAGAAACTCTGGTTGTGGAGGACTGAGGATCAGTAAGACTGACCAGTCTTTCCCTTTTGGAGAATAGTGATACTGAGCTGTCAAGATAGTAGGATTTCTCCTCCTCCTCTCTGTAGAGTTAGTGGTTGACCTTTTCTTTGCTTGGTCTTGTTTGTTTGTTTGTTTTGGGTTTTTTTACCAGTGGCTTCTAGAGACCAAAGGTAACAGAAGTCTCAGACATTTGATGTTGATATTGATCATAGTATTGGAGAAAAATCTTAGGCAAAACATTGGAATATTTTTCTTCATTTCTCTCAGACCTTTTTTTTGTTTGGGAGGGAGATGGTTTAGTTAGGATTTGGATTGTTGTTTAGCTGTAGGAATTGAACTCGCACTTCAGGTACAAAATCCTCTCTAAAGCATTACTTTGCCTGTCAGATTTGATTTCAGTGTTTCCCTGCCTGAAGTACAGAGAAGAACACTAGATGTAGCAGTGAAGAACAGTGGTGGTTTCTTGTCCAAAGATAAAGGGCTGCTTGGCAAAGTAAGTTGACAATAAGCAAATTCTGTTAATTCAGCATGTTATTATACTACTAAAATCCTCTTCTGATACGAGCTGCTTAATGTTGACTGAAGCACCTGATTCAGGTACAAAGCTTTTAAAACTTACAGATGGCTTAAATGTCAAACTTCAGTAAGGAAAAGAAACCAACTGCAGAGACAGGCATCAAAAGATGAGGCAGTAATCTCACCTAGAGAACGGTAAGTTCTGAGGCTTGCAGCAACAAAAGAAACCTGCATGTCAGACATGAATCACACAGTCAGAGAATGAAAATAACCAATAGGAAACGGGTAATATCTCAGAGAATGTTCAGACAAAACTGGAAAGACAAGCAAGAGTACTGAGAGAAGCACACAGAACAAATGTACATTTAGTAATTAAAATTCCAGATCGTAAAATCCATGAGAAAGAACTGTTACTGGAGGTATTCCCAGTGCTGAAACCAGCTGTTGTGTTTTACCACTTCCCTCTTCTATAAGCTCTCATTAAGCCATACTGTTTCCTACATGTGTGATTTGGAGCATGCAAAAAGGAATAGTAAACTCCTACACCCTTGCAAATTGTTGTGTTCGAGCTCTGTAAGGAGGATGAGAGATACCAGAATCATGGTCAGTTCATGGAGAACGAGGTTCTTAATTTTCCTGTTTACCAGGAAGGTTGTTGGCATAAACACATCAGCTGATTGCCATTGCCAACATATGCCATGTTCAGAATTTAAGCCTGTGAGGTGCCGTGGGACCATGTCACTAAAGCATATAGATTTTTAGGTCAAAAACAGCGACTTGAAACTTTACCGCAAGTCAAGCAAATAGCTGTGCTGACAAGAATGTAAAATATATTGGTTATCGATGGCAGTGACTGTACTGTAGTTTACAGGATTGTCAGATTTGGTTTTTAAAAGACAGAATGAAAGGCACACATAATGCACTGATTGCTAATTTAACTTTCCACAGCTATTAATACCTCTGGCATCTGAAGAACTTGCTAAAGGCTGGACCCAGTGGTAAGTATGATATATCCTTCATTAATAATAATACTGCATACTAATAACTGGTGTGTTAGTAATACATTTAATAGTACATGCTAAACGTAAAAAAAATTTCCTTTGTTTTTTTAATTTTCAGGTATGATTTAACAGAAGATGGTACAAGGCCACATGGTGCAAGTTAGGCCCATGGATATTGGGAATTCTCCATGCATAATTTTGCCAACCTTTATATATTTTTGAAGCGTCATTTTCACAGATGTACCAATATTATTTTTATAGCTTTACTGATTTAGTTCTTAGACACATCCCCAATAATTTTATAACACTTGGTCATTTTATGCAGACGTAGCCTTTCTCGTTGTTAAACTTTGTATTTTATTTTGCTAAACAATTTTATGTGTTACTGTAATGTGCAATAGTACAGTAAAATAACCTTTTGTGTTTAAATTGATCTTTATGATGGCTGTACCTATTAGAAAGTTAAAAGATCATGTTCTGCTGTTTTCCTGCCTTGTTTTATATCTCACCAAGGTATACTGTACCATGTAAATATATGCTATTTTTTTATAATTCTTTCATGCTGGTTTGAATTCAGAAGAAAATTACATAAAGGATATAGATATTTTCTTCTAAATGCATGTTAACTTCTTCAGATGAATCTCTTTTGTCTTTGCAGCACAATGGTCTTAATCATTTTGTGATATTCTTCAAAAACAGACTGCAGAAAAACATTTTTACTTTATTGTGTTTCTGGCCTAGTGTGGCTAACTTTAAAATGCACAAAACATTAACATTTTAATATTTATATATAGATGTATTATTGGAAAATCATGCTATAGAATATTATAAACAAAAATGAGAATTCTATAAATATTGTATATATAGAGGATGAGGTCCATGAGTCACAGTTTCTAAATCTGAATTTTCTTTTAATGGAGTAAACAACACAAAAAGTACAGTTTTATTATACAGGTTCACTTGGATTTTATTTATTCCTGTATTCTAAAGGAATGTGACCTTTTGAAGGTATGAGGACATGCATTTTTCTGTATTATAAACAACATCTCTAACGACTTAGAACTGTCCTTACTGCCATGTTTCACTGATTTATAAGGTATGCAGATCAGCTTGCAATGGAAGTTCATATAGTGTGCATACGTGCAAGACATATGTTACTTTTATTATTCAATACTGAGCTAAATAGTGTATGATGCTATACTTTCTGTAATACTCAAATGGAACACCAGTAGGTAAGAAAGTGTAAAACTGAGTTGAAACTGTCTTTACAGTTGCTTCATTGCTACTTAGTGTGTTTGGTGCATGAAGAAAATGCACTTCCGTGGTTCACACAGGTTTCTGGAGAAATAATGGCATTCTGCTGAAGCATTGCCATAGTCTGCTGCAAGGCTACAGCAGTGATAAAATTAGCACAAACTGATGAAAGTACAGTTGAAAGTTGAAGTGAGAGTATCAGCCTAAAGAGCTGCGCTCACAACTCTGGTTTTATGAATTATGCGGAACTTTTTTGTATTCAGAACTGATATTTCTTTTTCTGGTAAGTTTTCTCAGACTGTTACAAAAACGTGCATTAAGAATCCAAGAGGACAGTTCAGCTCTTTCAGAGCCAATGCCCTCATTCTTGGATAAGTATGCAATTAGACAGACAAAGTATATTATTTAGCTAAGATTCTAGAATGGTCACTCAGCCAAGAAAGAATTTTAAAACAGATTAATAAACTCCTGAAATTAGCTTTATTGTAAGATTACTGACAGAACCTTAATTCTAGATGTAGAATATGCCTACATTACTAGATGTACCAAAGTGCCTACCATAGATGTAGCTTTTTGTCTTTTTCAAGTTTAAGAATTGACTCATTTCAGTTTGTCTAAATTCAGTTTATCATGAACAGCTGTCATAGATGTGTGTGACACGCACACATACACCACTGTACAGTGTTGGCCTTCATATTGCCACATTTCGTACAAGACAATTTAGCAAACAAACTTACATGGTAAATTTTGCTGCTGTTACTTTCCGATGGACTGGGCAATAGAGAGATTTCTTTGTAAGGAAACATTTCCATTTGAAGGCTTCACTCTATATTAGAATGTATGAGTATCTATACATATGCACACTCATCTGTTCATATAAAATGTAATATATTATGAAATACATATTTTCTTTGCTAGTTCTCCATTGAAGTGTTAAGAATGGAAGGACAGAGGATTATTGTTAATGCAATGAAAATGCAGCAAGTGAAATCTAATCTAAATAAAGAAGGTTTAAGTGCAGCAGTTCAGCATAATTGTCTTTTGCCTTGGTTCAGCCTGAGGTAGGAGGACTCTTGCTATACATCTTGGCCAGCGACTCTCCAGAGTTTGATCCATAGCCAACAAACGGGCTCTTAAACTGATTCAGTGTTTCAAGTTGTAAGTGAAGTCTGGGGACAGATGCTAGAAGACTCTGCACTGAAATGAAAACAGTGTACGTTTTGTCTTCTAAAGTCTTGAGAGGGGAAAAAAAAATGTGGTTATTGGGTAAATGTGAGATGACAGCACAAAGTAAAGTGAGCAACTGAATAAAGTATATATTATTGGGTAAATGTGAGATGACAGCACAAAGTGAGCAACTGAATAAAGTATATAGGACAGGTTTCCAAAGTAGTTGACCACCTAAAATTAGGGATAGGTTCTTAAGAGAGCCTAGTTCCCATTTAGGAATATAAAATTTGAGCTTGAATTGTCATTTGAATTCAGTAACAGAAATTCCTATTGACTGTAATCAGTCTTGGATGCCAGACTCTTTAGAAATGTTATCCTGGGTGAATTTGGATCAGAAGGTGACTGCCTAGATGAGATTGATTATTTTGACAGTGGAAGCAAACCTCTGTATCATAGTTACCAAATTCTAATCGTTCCATTTATATGGAAGTAGGAGGGATGAATATAATTTTTCCTCTGGGCAAAAACTGCACCTCATTATCAAGTCAATGTATTCAATATCGACTGATAGCTTTTCATGTAGTTCTTGTTTATCCTGTGCCTTAAAATATGAACATATGATGTTTATGAAATGGCTTAAAAATAAGCTTTGTTACCTGTATGTACCAACACGTTCTCTACTATTGAAACCGTTTTTAGAATTACTTTGCTTCACTGACCAGAAAACCAGCTTTCTCAATTATAGCAGTGTTAGAACTCGAACTCAAATCAGCATGCATATCACTTGGATTTGGATTAAAAGAATTTTCATTTTCTGTCTTGAATCCTTTATCAGAGCTGCAGCAAATGGTGAGAGTTGAAATGAGAACAAAAGGTAATCAATTTTGTACGGATTGCCTTTTTTGATCATGTAATTCTACATTATGATGCATGTATTTATTCAATAAATGGTTCATATGGAAGTCAGTGTGTTGCTTCCCTCTACATACACACGCCCTTTTCCTCTCTTTTGCATATATCCCTGTCGTAATTAGTAATATAATGAGGTGAATTTTTAAAATAGTCATATATGCCGACTGCTCTAACCTAGGCAGCCTTGCTGTAAGGTGTGTAGGCAGATTTTTGGGTTTCACATGAGAGAAAGTAGAGTGAGAAGTACAGGATACTTCACTGAGGAATTCCTTGCTTGTTGGTCTGGAACAGATTCACACATAAGAATTAGTAGATTCTTTGTTCAACTTAAATTTTTCTCTTAAAATGATCAGTTGAACAAATTGTCATGATTCTAGCACTTACTCATCAATTCTCGGGAATTATATATTCAAAAAGACCTAGAACTGCATGTAATTGCCTTAGATTTAGAAACAGCAGATTTCTACATGTGGCAACCTTTCCTGTCATTCCACCTGCTTTTTAAGGCAGATATTGATAGAAAATGCAACTACGTACTGACTAAGTAAAAAAAAAGTGTTTTAGATCCTCTATCTGTTACAGAAAAACAATGCAACTACGTACTGACTAAGTAAAAAAAAGTGGTTTAGATCCTCTATCTGTTACAGAAAAAACATAGAAATTATACTATTTGCATTAAACATTAATTTTAATTAATTATAATACTGTAATGAATTACGATACCTCTTCCCTTAAACAGCTACAACTTGTCTGGATTCCTAATAGTCAGTTTTCACCATCCATAAATAAAAGCTGCAGAAGTTCATCACGCAGTAACTATCACATTTAGAAGTGACTCTACTGGATAATCTTCATTGATACTAACTACAAAATTACATTCAGTTTTTTTTGTAGGTGTGTGTTTGTTTGTTTGTTTTTTCCCTGGGGGAGATACCTTCCTTCTTTAGCAGAATAAAGGGCTTCTGCTAATCAATGGGAAAGCAGCTAAAGCCAAGTAAAAGCATGCCCATCTTCCTAACTCCCTCATGGCAAGGCGTTTCTGGATGGCACGCTTCCTGGCAGTGGCAGCACTGATCAGGTGTCTGCATTTTCTAGTCTTGGATCAAAATCAAGCCTTCTGTTCAGTCCTGCAAGACAGGTGGTAACTAGATCAGCACCTGCAAAAGAATGCTGCCTGTGTATTCACAAGATCTCGTTAGAGAGCAGAAATAATTGTGCAAAACACTTCTCCAGATGGATTTGGTGTTACTCTGATGGGCTCAGCCACTCGTAGATTTTTTCTTAATATTTGCTGTACTGGTTTGAACTGTTCTGGGCCATCGTTTAGTTCATCCAGTCTGCATCTGAGAGCAGTGTTTGCCAATACAGTTATCAATATGGTTATTTTAGGTCTTTTCTCAGCTAAGAGCTGAATATGAGTTTAATTATTTATATTTTTTTCCAAACAAACTCTGAATGTTGGGTGGTACCTTTGATATTTGATAGAAAACCAAAACTTCAGATGGTCCCAGGCCTGTTTGTGGCTGTAGGTGGTTGCTGAAGGAGTCTGACTATTTGATCACAAATGGTATTTTTACACATCTTAACAAAGCGTCTAACTTCATCACTGTGCTCTCCCAACTGATTTCGAAGGCCAACTGTCAGGCCCCCAACAACATTCTCGGCCACCTTCTGAAATTTGTCATTTGAAAAATGCAAAGTCGCTAAAGTGAAAATCCACGTCTGTTTCTTTCAGGTTTATGCAGTGAATTTAGCTGCCAGATTAGATGGCAGCTCTGGGAGAAAAGTTCTCTAATCTGTATTCATGTGGTAGAAGGAATGCTCTCTGTTCTCGCCATCCACAGGGAATGTTGCTTGCCAGTCACCTACAGTGGAATCCAATTTAAGCCGACTGCTGCATATCTATTTCCTCCGATGCTACCAAAGTGAAGCCAGCCCGTCATCCCCTGGTGCTTCTTTGAGTCCTTGGTAGATGTAAACTTTATTGCAAAGGAACTAAGGGCTAATAGTGACCATTTTTCCCTTTAAGATCAAGTAGAAACAGGTTCAAGGACAGACAAAGCTAGCCAAGATTTCAGCCTTTCACACCCAGACTGCGGCAGGGGTGGTTCCCGGCTTGGGGACAGGGGTCCGTTCCTGCCAGGACTCAATAAGCCAGCTGCCTTCAGAGCTGGGCGGGGCTGCAAGAAATGACATACAAAAGAAAGTTGTGAAGTCCCAGCGTCTCGGCCGTCCTGCGATTTCATTCATCAGGTTGTAGTAAGAATCTGTTGTGTAACCGACGATGAATTTAT